TATGGCACTTAATGCAGCAATATGTATTTAAGTAGTACATGCCAATGATTGCCTTTTGTTTACACGTGAGTGTGAGAATTCAATTCCTTCACCAATTTGATATCACTGTAAACTGTATTACCTGGTCTGACCCCATCAGGAATTAATGTGGGCCATTATGAAACCTAATTTAATTTAACCAAAATTAAGTTTACAATGATTTTCACCAGTGATCAGGGAAGGTGTTATAATTATCATTAATATGTATTTATGGCAGCTACAAGCCAGCCATGCAGAGGTGAAGACAGGCTGTGACAAGGTCAAGAGACAACTGATGGAGGTAAGACAAAGCTAAAATACCAGCAATATGACAAAAGGCCGTTGATTACAATATAAGAGAACATTACTCATTTCAGAAAATGAGACAGAAGTTATTATTTAAGTCTTGGTAGAAACATTGAGGCAGAACTCTCATTTTCAACGGTGCCGAGACACAAATAATACAATAAATACAGTCACAACAATTTTTTGAAATGGTTACTATCAAGAAAATCAGCAGTTAAACCTTGGACTTGTCAAAGAAGCATAATTAAGTAAATAATATTTTGTTGAAAATTTAAAGATGGGAATATGGCAAAATTGTGAAATCATGCATCTTCCCAGGCAACACAGCTCTTGGAGAATCTGGAAAAAGAAGTCAAGTCTCTAGAAGAGCTGGAGGAGCAGGCTGACAATGGGTGAGTGGTTGAGAATGATGGTAATGGATTTAATTATTCCTGCTGCCATTTAGCCATTTTGACATTGCAACCTCTTAAATCTTGTAGAACTTGTGATCCTTGATTGGTAGCACAATCTAACAGTGTTTATTCTGTTTAACAGCTTGTTGGAGAAGCTGAGGGCTCTAGTAACAATGAATGAGAACCTGAAGCAGCAGGAGCAGGACTTCCGCACACACTGTAAAGTGAGTACATCATCACACACACGCTGATTCTGAATCCTGTTGATTCCACTCTGTGTACAGCATAGGATAAATTGAGTTTTTAATTCATATATGACAGTTTTGTATAAATTCTCTCTAACATGGATGTGTGAACCAGGAAGAGATTGCCCGTCTGCAGCAGAACATTGAGGAGCTGAAAATGGCATCAGGACAGGATACAGAGGAAAAGGTATCTAGCACATTTTCCAATTTAGCAATTCTCTGAATCTGTATAAAACAAAAGAAGAAAAGAGAGTAGATTGGAGCCTTCACTCCCAGAGAAAAAATCCTTGAACGTAAAACCAACCAGTCATATGAATGAAAAGGACTAGTTCAAAGTTCAGTTCACAGTTCCAAAAAATAACTAGTTCATGTTCATTTGTTCAGTTTTTTTTTATTGGGATGGTTATGATTTAGATGACAAACTTAGGATCATGTATTTAGTTATTAATCGATGGTGTCGGATCATGAATCTGGATCCTCTGGTCACTTTAACACTGAGTCCTGGCTGTGTGCGTCATCTCTTGCGTTGTACTGAGCAAGCGCAAAATGTTGAAGACTCATTTATCATTATGTTTGAATGAAACCTCATAAACTCTGGAGCAAGCGTACGTGTATGTATGCTCCCAGTAAGAAGAGTCTGGGAGCACTCACGCAGGCCGATGATGATTTTTAAAAAAGCTGTCGTAAAACGTGAGCTTTCACATTCATCATTTGTAAACTGATTCGTTCAGTTCAGCACTCACAAAAAAATATGAACATGTTCATGTACATTACTGTATACTAATCCTCTTTTTTCTTTTCTCAGGAGAGGAACCAGCTGATAGACAAACAGTACAATGCGGACCGAGAGAAACTACAGAAAATCCGTCTGGTCATGGTAACTACATGAACTTAAAACAAGATTAGATGGAACAGGAGGTCATGGTGTAGTTAGGTCTCCATAGCAGATAACAAAACTGATAAGTGAGGAAAAAAATTAAAGCACAGAAAATAATATCGCAAATACACAGCTATTCCACTGACTTTTTTTAAAATCAAAATCTGTTTATTGAAGGAAATTCAACATATCCATGGTGCAATACTCAATGGTCCTTACAAGAACACATGGTAGACATGAGTACAACAATTAGCACCAATGTGTCCAGATGGGCATGAATTGGGTAGTATAACTTAAAGAGAACAAAAACAAAAAAAAAGGGACAAATGCAATGTTATACAGAAAAGAAACATTAAACAAAATCTTCATATGTAAAAGAATCCCTCCCTAGTCACTGCCAGTACACTGCAATAATACAGGTATGAGCACATTGCCACCTATAGAGCCTGCTCTATAAATAAGCAAAGAGTACATAGCGTTGTTAAACTGCACCTAATGAACAAGTTCTCAAAGAGTCTGAAATGCATTTAGAAAAGGACCCCACGCTTTCTGAAATCTCCCATTTGAATGCTTGAGCGAGTATCTAACCTTCTCCAATTTTAAGCAGGACATGATTTCTTCTAGCCATTGTGCATGAGTGTGAGAGGAGGCATCCCTCCACCTGAGCAGGATCAGTCGTCTAGCTAGCAGGGAGACAAAGGATAAAGTACGTCGTTTTTCTTTGGATAACTCCACCTCACTTCGTGAGCCCAAAAAGAGCAATCAACGGGCTAGGTTCCAACCTGATGCCTAACACCCGAGAGAGTGTATGGAAAATTTCCCTCCAATAGTTGGTGAGGCTTGAACAGGTCCAGTACATGTGGATGAGCGAAGCCTCAGCGAAACTGCATTTGATACAATGTGGGCTGATATCAGGGTACATAGAGGATAGTTTTGCTTTTGCACCATTTTGAACTGAATTAAGCTGTGACGTGCACAGAGGGAGGTCGAGTTAACCAGTTTAAGAATGGAAGTCCAAGTGTCTTCTGATAAAGAAAGACCTAAGTCTTCCTCCCATGCAGTTCTAAGCCTATCTGTGGTGGCGTGCCCAAGATCCAACACCATGTTATAAAGAGCTGAAATTAACTTCTTTTTAAGTGGATTTACAGAGAGGACTCTATCAACAATGTTCAAATCTGTTGATATAAAAGAGCCAGATAAATGAGAAAGAACAAAATGCCTTACTTGAAGATATCTGAAAAAGTTTGACTTAGGAAGACTAAAAGGTTTTCCTAAGTCAAACCCTAAGTCAAAAGCGGCTCAATGATCAGAAGGCAAGCCCCAACATTTATGTTTGACTTGAAACGAGGTCACTTACACATTTTAAAAATGTCTATCTTCCGACGAGGTGCATTCAGGGACTGTTGGAAATGCTAACGTTTGCTAGCTTAGCCACTTCCTGTGGACTTTTATGAATTTAACATTTGTACAGTCATTTAGAGGAGATTTCTAAATATCAATATGAATATCGTGTATCGCAATATAGCATACAAATATTGCAATATTTGTTTTAGGCCATATCGCCCAGCCCTAGCCAGAAGTTGTAAAAGTGAGGAGGGAGGAGTTGAAGAGTTGGAGTTCAAGATTATATTGGGATTTGGCAAGGAGGATTTTCTTCAATGAGTCGGGAGAAGCTGGACTGTGTTGAAAAACCAAGTTGGAGATATACGCATGGCTAAGGTTTTGAGAGGTGGGAATGTGTTGATTGTTTTTAGGTTTGAAGAGCAGAGGGAGTGGGCAGGATGAGAGAAATTGTATGATTTTAAAGTGGAGAGTGTAAGTGGAGTAAAGGAGTTATTTGGGGGGTGCCAGTCAGAGTTACAATGGAGGTAATTAAATGAGGAACTGTAATCTAAATGACATGTAATCTAATGAATGCAAAAGAATATATTACAGTTGAGTTATGGACAAGTGAGGGATAATATGTATTATCAATTATTACCACCCCAGGAATCTAGAGTTGGATAAGCTAACACATTAATGGGCTGGATGGTAGCAGGGTGTTGGTATATGGGGACTTTAATACCCAAAGCACATTGTGGGGAGGAATAAAAACAGATGCTAATTGGGAGATTATTGAAGAACTGCTAGAAGAAAAAGGTATGGTCTGTCTAAATGATGGAAGAGGTACTGGATTAGATGTGCAAACAGGGGACCTTTCCCTAGAAAAAAAAGTAGTTTGGTTAATCTTCAGGTGTTGTGCAGACCTATACTGAGATGTTTACATCAATGACTACTGATGGTGTGCCGGTTTTTCACAACCACTGCTGATGATGTAATGGCTTCTTGAAGGATTGTCCCAATTCGTAGGGGAAAATTTCTACCCATGTGGCTCTATTTCAAGGTGCAAGATAACCCTTGAAAACAAGGGGTAGGGGTAGGGAGAAGGGGTGAAATGGGATTGGGATTAATCATTAAAGTACAAAAAAAAAAAGGACATAAAACTTTAGACACCCTCACCCAGACAACCCAGATGAAGTTGTTTAAGCCTCAATTTGTGCCCCAGCTGCACTCTACCACATATCCAGTCTCTTGATCTAGAGTCATCTGGAGGCTTTCTCCACAGCCTGCATGTCTTTATTTTGTCTGTGATGCAGAGTGCTGTGTAAGCCCTACAGAGACACTGTTCTGCAAAGCCTCAATCAAATTTTATTTGTATAACCCATATTAACAAATCACTATTTGTCTCATAAGGCTTTCACAAGGTGCCACATCCTCTGCCCTTAACCTTCAACAAAATTTTAACAGGAAAAAAAATGTAGAAACATCAGAGAGAGCCACATGTGGGGGATCTCTCTCCCAGGAGGGGCAGAAGTGTAATATAGATGCCACGTGTAACTGAAACCATCAGCAAAATAACATTGATGAGAAGAAACAGTTTGTAACATAATGGAAAGTGTGTCTATGTTTAAAGTTTTTGTGCACGAGATAAATGTCTGATAGAGATGAAGGGAGCAGCAATGTAGTTATTGTCTGTAATGGTAGAGTATGTGAGTAGGCATAAAAAGAAAATAACTGACTTCCCCAACAGCCTGATTTATAAGTTTCAAAGTTCTTAATTATTCCATCTGCTTTTTTATAGTATGATCAGTCAGGTAATTAAATTGTTGCATTGTGCATGAAAGTGCTGTATTCAAAAAAGAATTACGTGAGAAACCTCCATTATCATATGATTATAAAAGGATATGTTCAAAGTTTCATGAAACAAATTAGCTTGGTTTGTTCACATACAGGACTTCATCTTTCATTTAATGGAAAGGTAACAAAGACAAAGACCTGAGTTTTGGTTGTTTGAACCTCTTCTCTTTGAGCTGAATTACTCTAGAGGTATTTCACTCTGTTCAGGCCCGGAGGAACCGTGAGATTGCCATCCTGCAGAGGCAGATTGACGAGGTGCCAAGCCGGGCCGAGTTGACCCAGTACCAGAAGAGATTCATTGAACTCTACAGCCAAGGTGCGTTAAACCTCTGTATCTAGTCTAACCAGAATTAGACCAGGTAAGTAGACATTTGATGTATCTCCAATTATGAATTATACTAAATGTCACCAATACATTGGGAACAAAGACAAAACTAATTCTTCTTGTGCCTTTCAGTTTCTGCAACACACAAAGAGACCAAACAGTTCTTCACGCTGTATAACACATTAGATGACAAGAAGGTTTACCTTGAGAAGGAGGTCAGTAACCGCACGGTTAGCAACATGGGGAAAAAATTCCCAATATAATGAGTTCTAGTAGACTGTGGCTTTAAAGTAAGATTTGTCTGTGATTTTAGCAGCTCTCTTCAGTTTGACTATTGATATAAATGTCAAACAAATTAAAGGTGAGAGTCACCAGCAGACTAAATATTCTAAATATTATTCATAAAATAGTCTTTTCTCATATCTGTAGGTGAATCTGCTGAATTCTATTCATGACAACTTCCAACAGTAAGTATAGATATGCTCACCTGTTTGTTTGTGAGGAGTTTTTTTCCCCCATTACCTTCATGGTCGGTTGGTGTGTCAAAGCTCTAATCTGTTTTGCTGCTGTGCAGGGCCATGTCATCTTCAGCAGCCAAAGAGCAATTCCTCAGACAGATGGAGCAAATAGTGGAGGGAATCAAACAAAGCCGGATCAAGGTAGAACTCACTCTCTCTTAAAGAATAATTCCATGTAGTTCCCTTCAGAGATTTGGAAACATCATTGCTGAATTGAACTACAGCTGAGCAGGACAAGAAATTATCCAGAGGTCCTTACACTCTTTCCACCAGTACAACACAAGCACAACACTATTTATGTGACGCCTGCTTTCTGCCTGTATGCTTTGCCAGATGGAGAAGAAGAAACAGGAAAACAAAATGAGGAGAGATCGGCTGAATGATGAACACCTGGAGCTGCTCGATAAGCAGAGGCTCTACTTCAAAACTATCAAGGACTTTAAGGAGGTGAGGAAAGCAGTCAAATATCATGTATTCTTTAACAGTTATTGAAGTTACATCGCTGAGAGGTGTTGCTGGCTACAACAACAAGCAGTTGATATTAAACAATAAGTACAGTCTCAAAAATTACCGGTGAATCAACACCTCTGTTTACAGTTTTAGTAAAACTTAATTTGGGGGGATACAATTATTGATTAGATGTTGAAAATGAGTGCCAGAGTCATAAGAATATTATTATTATTGCCAACATTTCTAAAAGTTAACAATAGGTTCCAGATTTAGATAAATAAAATACAGACAATTTAAAGTTTACATTGATCGTATATGTCATATTATAAGTAAAGTGAAGTCATGAAGTATTTACAAAGAAGTTATGTAACAGTACTGATGAATTGTTTCTTTTTTCTCCAGGAGTGTCGGAAAAATGAAATGCTGCTGTCTAAGATGAGAGCCAAAGGAGCTTCTTAGCCCTGAGTCCAGCGTAAAAAGTTATTTGATATAAACAAAATATTTAATCTCATCGGCTAAATTTATCACAGATTAACTGTGTTCTTTTTTCAAACATTCCACCGGTTGTTTCATTTTTCTTCTTTTTGGCTGAGAAGTCCAAGATACTGTATTTACACTGTGGCATTCACATGTGCCAAATCCAGCTGCCTGAAAAACACAAAGAAACCTTTTAACTTATCAAGTCAAAAGAAGCTATGGAGTGTTTGACACATGTTGGCATGATCTTCCACTGAGATGCGACAACAGCGCCTGCAACAACCACGATGGTCACCAAATATCAACCAAGTTGAAACTGTTGACTTTCAAAATGAACTATTTGGGAGCCTTGGAACAATCCTCACAATCAGAACCGTTTTTTATTATATCGGACAACTTTTCACTGTGGGACTGAACAATGTCAAATTTAATCGTAACTCAACTAACATTAACGTCACACCTTTAAAGCTGTACTATACAGCTGCTCCATCTTTGAGAAATGTGCCCATGTTGTTTCTGTTGATCCCATGTCCACTAAAGGTGCCTTAACTTTTTTTTCACTGATATTACAAAATAGGGTGTTTATGAACTTAAGTTCTGAAAGTCCATCATAGTATTTTGAAGTTTCCAGGTGCAGCTTTAAGCATTGTTTTTTGTTGGATATAATTTTACAGTCAGGCTGCTCAGATGTGCTTCCAATGTTTGAGTTCACCTCATGTCTTAGATTTGCTTTCAACATCCAATCACCATATATGTGCAGCACTAAATGAATAAAATTATCTTAAGAATTGAAATGTCTCTTGTGTTACTCATCTCAGATAAGATGTGTACTGTCAGACGCTATGTCCTGATTAAAGACAGGGATTTATCAGAGTGTTGTCAAAAGTAACATGATGATTCTATGAAGGAGACATCCTGTGAATCCCCAAATCACTTCTGATCTCCTGGTGCAGATGCAGAAGCTGGCTAATGGACACCTGTTCCCTACATAGTCAACACAAATCCCACCAGTCCTGGGAGATGTATTACTCACAGAGAAACAATAACATAATAATATAATATTTCAAGATTTAATTCACAGATACATTCAGTCAGATAGAGATTATCTTAACAACATAAAAACTGCTCATGGATACTTTTAAAAAGGGTCATAATTGATGCAGCAGACCCAGAGATATGTTTTTATTGGGTAGCCTCCATTGCCTACAATGTAACTTAACTGCCGACATTTGCTGTTCATATAGTCCTGAGCCTAAATTCTTTATAACTCCACTCCATTTTTTCCCGTTCAAATTTATAATCTTCAGCCTCAAGCATATGTATTTGATTTCACACAGCTGTCTCTAGAGACTCTCAAGACTATATAAATTTTTTTTCATTTACATTGGCTTTAAAAATTACTCGCAGCCCTTCAGAGCTAATTTATCTACTGACAATAACCTTTATAACAAAATTACAACATTAGAAACTTTGTGCAAATCTATTAAAAAAATTAAATTCGGTCAGACAGAGGAAACCAGACCACTCATTTCCTTCCCGATATCAATATACTGGTCAAATCTGGTGGTGGAAGCATCATGCTATGGGAGCATTTTTCAGTGCAGGGACAGGGAGACCGGTGTCATCAGGTTGAGGGAAAGCTGAATTGAGCAAAGTACAGAGATGTCCTTCATGAAACCCTAGAGCAGAATGTAAGGACCTTTCCAACAGGAAAGTGTCCCTAAGCACATAGCCGAGACAATTCCAACTGAACATCTAGAGGGACCTGATGGTGGCTGTCCAACCACATCCAACCTGGCAGTGCTTCAGAGGCTCTGCAGAAAAGACAGGCAGAAAAAACCACAAACAAAGGTGAGCAAACTGTCATAGACTCAAAGCTGTGATGGTTGTCAGACGTAATTCAACAAAGTACCCATCAACGGCTCTGAATACTAGATTTATGATGATTTTAGCACATTCCTGCTACCCCATGTACAAAGACAGATCCATAGATTAATAGATTTCCAAATCTGGTGTGGAAGAACTTGGCTGACCTGAACATAGCCCAACAACCATCTCCAACCACAGAAACCACAACACTACCTGAGAATCTGATGTCCTCAGCCTACAGTACATTAAGGCTGGACCTCACTAATGCCCATGTGGCTGAATAGGAGAGACTGAAACCAGAGGAAATAAGGTTTTTACAGCATCAGTGCCTTGATATGACATCTTCAGCTCTCGTTTAATGTTTGGATCCTCAATGTTGTACCTTTTGCCACGCTGTGTATTTGTCACTTGTCTGTTAAACTTTCTAAGAAACAAAAATGTATTAGTTAGGGTTACCTTCCACAAGATCACTGAACTTATGTATATTAGGAGCATGTTCTTTTCCCTCAGTCTACTTTCTGCTTTATCAGCTCACTCTCCAATCACAGTGATTGAGATACTGCACAGACAGTTTACGTCTCTCTTCCGTCAAAGGTCTGATTGAGGAACATAAAAACATGGTCATATATGCAGGTCAGTTTTTCTGACTGTACTTTTTCCATCCTTCTTTGGTGGAACAAAACTAGATCAGTTATTGTAGGGCACCACTGGAGAGATTGAGTGTGTGAAAATATAGCATGATGCTTCCTGCAGGAGCTTCAGGGAACATCACATGTTGGTATTGTTACTGATATGTAAGATAATACATAACTGATGTGTGTAACTATCTCACTGTGTCCCTGTCAGAGCTTCAGAGCAGACAAAGGCACTGACGAGATAAAAGGAGGAAGTGGGTGAAGAGGAGATGGGCAGGGAAGGCAGTGGAGCACAAATTTGGCAGAGTGAGACAAACAAGAGGCCTAACCTGGTGTTACCGGACAGATTCTCACTATATCTGAGACTGAACCTTTCTCAATAGATATGATACTTGGTTGGATATCACCGTGTGGCCTGCTGGAAGCTGCTTGATATGTTTCACTATGAATGTTTTCTTGGTGCTGCATGGCTTCCTGTTGCTCCTGATTTTTGGTGTGTTTGATCAGGCAGTTGGGGCAAAGAGACAACAACCATTGTTTTTACCTGAGAACCACAACTCTCGCTTCCGAGGCCTCTGGAAGCTACACATGAGGGACTCCCTGCTGAAAGGTAAAGGTCAAACATAGGAAATGTTCTTTTATTCTTTTATCTCTTGGTTGAACTGTGTTATGAACACATGATGATGGTGTTAGTGGGACATGCTGTGAAAGAAATGCTGTTTGGAAATAAGAACCCTAACTGCATGTCATACAAATCTCTTTCAGCGCTTTCTGTAACTTTAGGGTATAGTTTCCTGCAATCCACATAGCTGACTGTCTCCTTTGGTCTTCATTAGCTCACACTTTGTTTAACAGTATAGCTAGTCAAGGTATATATACTGTTCTCAGTGGTCAAGAAAACACGCTTCATTTAGGAAGGGTACTATCAAATATTCTTGCCACCATACTGTGTGTTGTCAAATCAACTAACAAGACTGAAATCTTAAGGGACATTTTGACTGTCTTAATATAATACATGATAACTCATCATTTGTATGATATGTTCAGAGATTTATTGTTCACTGTAATCACACAAAAGCTGCTTCATATTAGCTTCAGATGAAGTAAATACTAGGTGTAAGCAGTCTGATTTAAATCTCCTTTCTCATGATAGCTCTGTGTAGGTTAATTACTGGTGTGACTACTAAAATATATCACTCTATCACCACTCAGCATGAACTATCTGTGCAGAGCAACAGTATTCAGTAAAAAATAACTGTGGTCGGTAGGCAATTCTCTAACTCAGACTACTAAAGCCTTGTGTCACCATCGGATGGACATAGGGAAATTTTTGCTTTGAACCAGGAATCTCTTAACAGGGGGATGAACAATTCTAATAACATGGCATTTCTCCATCAAGGACAACTGGCTATTAAAGGTACAGTGTGTAGAATTTAGTGACATCTAGTGGTGAATGTGCATGTTGCAGCTGAATACCCCTCACCTCACCCTCCCCTTCCAAACATGTAAGAGAACCTGTGGTGGCCTTCACTTGTCATGAAAACTCAAAAGGTGTTTAGTTTGTCCAGTCTGGACTACTGTTAAAAACATGGCGGCCTCCGTAGAGAAGACCCCCTTGATGTAAATATAAAGTATTTAAATATAAAGGGGCAATTCTAGGGTAAAGAAAACAACAATTCGTACAATTTTGATAACACACTAGTGAAAACATCCTGAGGATTATTTTATATTAAATTTGTGCCAATAGATCCCTTTCATCTAACTCTTACATACTGAACCTTTAAGTCAGGGCTATTCAATTACAAATGCAGATGGGCCAGATTGTCAAACCAAAAAAATTTAGCTCGGCCAGACATTTTCAGAAGCATGTAAGCAGCAGGTAATGACAAACTTTAAACCAACACGACTAAATGTATGGAAAAACAAGCGATGTTCAGTCATTGTTTCCCTTTGTCACATCTGACACAGGCACATAAAAAAGTGCATTAAAAAATGCTATCAATACTTTATTCCACTTTTGAAATAAAAAAAATGTTGACCTAGGCACAACTCAAAGTGCATAAAAAACAAAACAGTGCTCAGTATTAGCAATAACTTGTTTCCCTTTTAAAATTTAAATAAATATTTTTGTCATATACCCAGGCACATCACACATTGCATTTAACAGAATACATAAGAACTATCAAAGCTATCAGTGCACAAACCCATATTAAGTGATAACAGTAACACATATGAATACAATTCTCCTACTGATCAGGCACGGCTTTGTAACACATCCCACATTATGGTGATATGTAGGCTACAGTTACCCTGCTGAGTTTCATAGAGGGAGAAGTGACATTTGATTCGTAAGATGTCACTGTAATCCGAAGGCATTGATGAAGAGTGCTGTCAGTCATTAATTCATGTGTAAAGCTTGATTCCAATGTTGATCCAAACATACTGAGCACTGTGATTGCTACTTTCTTAACGTTAGTGAACTGGTGTATGTTAAAATCAGACCAAAACTTCACAGTCCCGTCAGTGCAAATGCCATGTGCCATGGTAATGGATGATTACATGTCAACAGGTTCCCCTTTTCGATGGAAGGGAGCACTTCCTTTGCTGTGGCAGATAAGTCCCCTTCTGTTGCAACAGTGAACAGGCAAAACCCATCCCTCCGTGGGCAGGGCAAGTCCATCCAGTCACCCAGCAAAGTTCTCTTTCAACCTCGCAGTGTAATCGGTCATCACATCCGTGATCTGTGCCAGAATTACGATGCATTTGCGGAGCCAATACTTTTCACCTTATATATGCTCCCCCTAGGCAACATCATCAAAAAGCACCACATACACAAGAGTAGAACAGGAGGTAGAGCATTCAGCTACCAGGCTCCTCTCCTGTGGAACCAGCTCCCACTCTGGGTTCAGGAGGCAGACACCATCTCTGCATTTAAAGTTAAACTTAAAACGTTCCTTTGTGATAAAGTCTATAGTTAGTTCTGGATCAGGTGAGTCCTGAACCATCACTTTGTTATGCTGCTATAGGTCTAGACTGCTGGGGGAACTCCCAGCATGCACTGAGCACTTCTCCACTTTTCTCTGTCTCTCTGCCCCCCCACATTCATTTATTTATTTTAATACATGTCAATAACTATGTTTCTTTTTTCTCCCATAGTCCCTCTCTCTGTTTCTCTCTCATTGCAGGTATCTCTGACTCCAGAACTGAAGGAGAACAACTATTATTATTATTATTATCATTATTATTATTAACAACAATACTTATTAGTGATTAATCATTATATGAATTGTTGCTGTTATCAATAATAATCAATAATGTCTTTACACTGTTACTGTTTACATTCTAACTAGTCAGATCTGATACCTGATGGTGCTCAAGTGTTCCCAGTCTCTCTTTCCTCTCTCTCCCCCTCTCCACTATCTCACTCTCTTCTCTCCCCTCTTTTCCACCCATCTCTCCTCTCCTCCCCATTTTTTTCTGCTAACTCCAACCAGTAGAGGCAGATGACCGCCCACATTGAGTCTGGTTCTAGAGGTTTCTCCCTGTTAATGAGGGAGTTTTTTCTCTCCACAGTCGCCAAAGTGCTGCTCATTGTGGGAACTGTTGGGTTTCTCTATATTTATACGATTTTAAGGTCTTGACCTCCTATAAAAAGTGCCTTGAGATAATGTATATTATGATTTGGCGCAATACAAATACAATTGAATTGAATTGAACTGAATGGTCTGTACTATTGTAGGAATTTCAAAATTTAGGCTCTCTGTTTTTCTCCGTGATTCTTGCTGGACCACGGGCTGGGCCACTCGGAGTTTGCTTCTGGGCTTCATGTGGCCCGCGGGCCGCCATTTGAAAAGGCCTGCTTTAAGTACTTTGTCCATCAGCTACAACAAATCATCTTTTGACATTGCAGGCTCTAGTCCTCATCCAGTCGAAGAAGAGGTCAAACAGCAGCTGCTTTACTGCCGTGTTGGCATTGGCTACCATCTCCAGATTCTGCCCCATGGGTCTGTTGGAGGCGTCCACAAACCCACAGTGTATTGTAAGTTCAGTCCACACATACAACCTCCTTACCATGAGCATTTGTTAATGTTTCAAGTTTATTTGGTCTGTATTGTAAATTTTGTCCATTCATTTATGCTTTGCTCTACTTTGCATTTTTAAATCTCCACAAGCTTGGCTCAAGGTGTTTGCTATGAAGCATGGAGTGGTGGGAATCAAAGGAGTCAAGAGCGGCTTGTACCTCTGTATGAGTCGAGAGGGCCTGGCATATGGCACGGTATGTAGTCCATTCACAGCTCACACCAGTAATACTGCATGGTTTAAATGTGTCATGTATGTTTACTATAGTAAAGACTCAAACCTGAGTCAAAGAGCACTATGTTAAAAATGCGTTCATAACACTATAAACAGGTAGCTGGGTGGTTGTGGCTCAGGTTATGAGTGGTTCATCCACTAACAAAAAGGTTGGAGGTTAAATCCCTTGCTCCCTATTGCACATAATGTAGTGTCCTTGGGCAAGATCCTGACCCCAAATTGCCCCTGATGGCTGTGTTGGCAGTGTCTGTGTGATGTTTGATAGAGCCACATAGAGCCACTGCATGCATGTGTGTGTGAATGGCAAAAACTGTAAAGTGCTTTGAGCAGTCATCAAAACAGACAATTTACCATTTACCATTTAACATCATGAATGTGGTTGTTTCTTCCAGGAGCAATTTTCTGCTGACTGCCTGTTGAAGGAGAACCTGGAAGAAAATCACTACACCACCTATTCCTCTCTGTCTCATCCGGGCATCTACCTGGCTCTTTCCCACAAAGGAGACCTCAGAAAGGGTAGCAGTGTGGGCCGCCACCAGTCCTGCACACACTTCCTTCCTAGAAGACCACCATGATCTGGGACCAGGACAGACAGCTTTTTCGAGAAACAGAGCCAAATTAGAAATATAGTTCACAAGCCAATCCAGCTTGTGTGGAAAGCAACAGACCTCCACACAGCAGGTTTCAGGTTTACTGTCATTTGTTGAGTGACAGAATGGTGTTCCTTATGGACCTCAGTGTGACAGAACAGATGCCACACAGTCTTATGGATGAGAGTAAGAGTAAACACTCTCATTTGTCGAAACAAGGTTAACACTTTTGCTTGTGACTGTAACCACAGTGCAAACAAATAAGTCTCAATAGACAGAAATGATTCTGTGTCAGGGTTGAGTTGGCCCATCACGATGGCCATGTCTTTTCATGTTGTAGAATTTCAATGAAAACGGTGCAAGAGGTTTAATTTCATAGTGAGTTGACCACCATACTCGCTCTACCAATCCCCAAAAGCTCCTGGTGTCTGTAGTTGATTACTAATTTTTTGATTGGCTTACTGTTGAAGATATGCAAAATAAATTCTAAAAGTTTTAGCAACTGGGGCATGTGGGAAGACACTAGATTATTGTCTGGGTCTTTTTCTGACACCAGTGCCTAAATGGTGCCAGAACTGATGCTTTTTACTTAAAAATGCCTGACTGTAAGACGACGAAGGATATTATTTTTTAATTGCCAAAGCTGAAATTTAAGATCTAGACTTTTAAGAGTTTAAAGTATACTTAATAACTAAATAATAGTTTCAGTGTTTAAAACAGCAAAATGCTCCAGCTCCAAATTCGTGACAATTGTCTTCCCACTGCCATGCACGGTATGGGGCCATGCAAGCAGTCAAACACGGAGTATCCCTGTTTGCACAAGAGTGTTTTGCCACCAAGTTGAGTGAATCGTTATCCACAAAAGGCAATAAAATTGTCATAGCCGATATATAGCACAAACTTTGTGGAAATATGGTACTACTGCAACAAAAAAAAATAATAATAATATCCTGTTTCTTGGAATTAGGTATTTTTATTTTTGGGTAAATAGTACATTGTGGTTTTGGGCAATTGAGACAGTTGAATAAGATTTGCTAAATATTTTTTTGTATATGCTCTGCATGCTCTATATTAGTGTCAACCTCAATTGCACATATTCAATACATTCAGAACTTCAAGCATTTCAATTCAATTCAATTCAATTTTATTTGTATAGCACCAAATCATAATATACATTATCTCAAGGCACTTTACATAGAAGGTCAGGACCTTAAAATCAAAATATAAAGAAACCCAACAGTTCCCACAATGAGCAAGCACTTTGGCGACTGTGGAGAGAAAAACTCCCTCATTAACAGCGAGAAACCTCTAGCAGAACCAGGCTCAATGTGGGCGGTCATCTGCCTCTACTGGTTGGGGTGAGCAYAGAAAACGGGGGAAGGAGATGAGAGATGGGTGGAAAAGAGGGGAGAGAAGAGAGAGGGATAGTGGGGAGGGGGAAGTAGGAGAGAGGGGGGGCGAGAAAGACCGGGGACACTTGAGCGCCATCAGGTATCAGATCTGACGAGTTAAAAAGGAAACAACAGTGTAAAGACTATTAATTACTGTGGATAACAGACACATTTGATATCATAATGAATTACTGCAATATTGTAATTAGTAATAGTAAAAGTTCTTAGTTTTGAATGATTTGCTGCAGTCAGGTACTGCTTAAGGTACCAGGTGATAAAAGGGGCCCAGGAAGTGGAATGACTTCACGGTGTCCACTGGAGAATCACACAGGGTGATGGGTGCAGGTGGAACTTGGTTCTTCCTAAAGTCCACAGTCATCTCCACTGTTTTGAGAGCGTTGAACTCCAAGTGTTGTCACTGTACCAGGTCATCAGGTGGTTAATCTCCCACCTGTAGGCAGACTCGTCCACATCAGAGATGAGTCATATGGGTGTGGTGACGTCCACCAACAGGTGGATCCGGTGTTGGTGGTCCAGTCAGAGACATGTTTCCCCAGCTTCCCACGCTGCCTCCTAGCAGACAGGAAGTCTGTGATCCATCTGCAGATGGAGTCAGGCACATTCAACTGGGAGAGCTTATCCTGAAGCAGAGCAGGGATTATAGTGTTTAATGCAGATCTGAAGTCCACAAACAGGATCCTGGCAAGAGGCTGCGGGCCATCAGGACCAAAAAGTCACGCCACAAAAAATATTTTTTTCCAGACTGCTGCTGGCCTTGTCAACAAGGTATGTGACCCTATCACTGGGTTGCACTGATGTTCCCATCTGTGACTGTGACACTTTGACACTTATAACAGACTAACTGTACTTTGCACAATCCAGTCTCTAGGGTTTACTTAGAATGTGTTGCACAATCCCTCCCCTGGTGCTATAGTATTATTTACATGTATTGCTTCTTATTTTTTATCATTTTTATATTTATACTTGCACAAATGCACCACAGCACATTCCTTGTATGTGTAAACCTGGTTGGCAATAAAACCTGTGGTCATGGGATGGAGTGGTTTATTGTGACAGTGAGGAAAGTCAGCTGTAATCTGTATGCATTGTGGATGAAAAATTCATCACCTTCAGTAATTAAGTTTAACAAAAAGGAATCTTCATTCATAGTGATTAACAAGAAAATAAATACATTAAACTATAAATTAAAATGTGAAACAATCATGCCAAAATATCTGAGAGCAATGATAAAATGTCCCAATCACCAAAATGTTGCCAAAAACGGATTTGTTGTCATTTTACACAAAAGGGTATGCCATGCCTCCTTGGATATAATCTGCTTTCCTCCTCAAATAAATAACATCTTCATTATTTCAGAAATATATCATGCCCCCTTTTTTTTCTCACAAGGCTGAAATTCAATAACTTTCCTAATCACTCTTACTTCAAGTGAAAATGCTCTCACATCATTATCTCATCACTTATGTTGTGTGTAAAACATCTTATTATGGTGCCTGGAATCAGGACTATGCTACGCCACGGCCACACTGGCGGTTTGGAAGTTTCCTCTGCCTGTTGCAGCTGTCTGCTGTTCACACTGGCTGTGGTTTAGCTCTACGGTGCAGCTGCTGCTGCCAGAGCTATGCTTTTACATAAGGGTTGCGCATCAGTCACGAGTATGTGAGAGAGAAAGAGAGAGAGAGAGAGAGAGAGAGAGAGAGAGAGAGAGCTTATTGCCCAACCCCTGGAAATACTTTTTACCTTTTAATATAACTAAAGCCTTTGTGAGGTTTCTGGTATGACTAATGTATTTTAAGTATAAATGTAGTCTTAAGTACTCAAATAAATACCAGAAGGGTGAATTCGGGTAATGTGGGACATTGGGTAATGTGGGACACCCAATCTCCAGTCTGTTTTTATTCCTGTTCCAACAAAATCTAGTCGACCTTTACTACAACGTATTGATTTAGCATGGATATCATGTAACTGAAATCACATGACTTCATGGGGGTGATGTCACAGAAAGGGGTGGGACAAATACATCTGTCATAAATAAGAAAATGTTCCTAAATTAGGTTTGTGATGTATTCAAGCTACAAAATATGCATAAAATGTGTTTTTTTTTTTGTTTTTACCTGTCAAATATGAATGATAATGTGGGACAGCATGCTTTAGGTAATCTGGGACTGTCATTGAAGTTATATCTACAGCTTGTCATGCAGTCCAAACTGATTGCATGGCTCTTGTGAATAAACCCTTTATGTAACAAAAACAACTTATTCTACAGTGCATGTGTGTGAGTGTATTTGCATAAAGCAGCTGGACAGTGAAGCTATTGGAAAGTGTCCATGCATTGGCCTGCACACTCAGGTGACACATGAGTATGTAATCCTACCCAGAGAATGGGAGGTACATAGTCAACTGATCCCTACCTTGAGTGACAGCACTCACCTGCTCAGATGTCCCTTTGTACCAAAATTTAGGCACGACAGGAAGGCAGCCATTGAGACAGAGAGAGGAGGAAGAAAAAGGAAAAGCAAGAGAGGACAGAAAGAAAAAATGACCGGGAATAGGGGTCACTGGAGTTAAATTAAGCAAAGTTGGATGTGGAGAATGGCACGATGACGAAAAGCTTTGGGGAGAACGGTATGTTGGATATAATTTGGACAAACTCAGGAATACATCCAGCTTTGATGACTCCTGACAGTTTTTCTCTTTTCCATATCCTCTTCCACCACTTTTATTTTTCTGCTCTCAGTGTATCCACTTATCCAACTGTTCCGCTTGTCTTTTTTGCAGATCCTGCTGCCAACGCTGCTGCTGCTACTACTACTGACACATCAACCCCCCCATCAGTAAGTGGACAAAATACAGTCACATTAGTCCTGAAGCTATTAGATCAAATTTCATTCTTAATTAAATACTTTTGGGCTTGGACTTTTTTCTCAAAACAAGAAATCCCTTTTCAAATTTATTTTTTTAAAAATCATTTTATTATCTGGGGACCTGATCTGTATCTGTTAGATATCCTCCACACACTCCAGGAGGGAGCCTCTTAATTATTAAATTGTAAATTTGGTTATTTCTCATTTTTCTTGCCACTATTCATGTTAAACCCTTTCCCCTGGGATCCCAAGCCTGACCGGCAATGGTAGTCAGCTGGTGGTTAAAGTCACAATACAAATGGGTAACAGTTTAAAGATCCATTATAGAAAATGTGTAAAAAGACAAAAAAAAAAAGAATGTACAATGGTGAACTGTAATTATGTGGCAGTGGCAACTTTAAATAAATCAACAAATGTTAGAGTAAATTCAGTTTTGCTACATTTCATCCTGTATAGGAACATAAGGACCCCTCCAGGATAGAGGTGGTCTCTGTAACGGAAGACGATCTCCCCACTGTCGAGACCCCCAACACAGTGAATGTGAGCCCCCTGGGCAGCTTCACTGCTGTCTCCCTGTCAGAGAATACTACAGCCAAACCTGAAGAGCCCCAGTCTCCTGCTGCACCCAGTCCAACCATGCCAATCACCAAGGTGCAGCCATTTATTCAAGGTGAGACCCTGTGATGCTCTTGAGCTTTGGAAGGCTTGT